TTGCAATAAATTCACAACATGTTTCTTGGTTATCGCATTCAAATCTTTGATGATTTACCCATCCACAAAAATTGTTTTCCCATACACTAGAAGAGATTTAGGGCATGTTTATAGAAGACAAGCAAGCCCGCTCAAGTTGTGCTAGCTAGTTTGCTGGGCAAATTTGTATTTGCATTCATATGAGGTGGTCTGGACTGGCTGAAATGTTCTATTTAATTTCTGCCAACAAATGGTGTATTTCGCGGAAAAATTAAAATGTGTTTAGACTCACACATTACAGCAATAAGATTGCTGTCATTGAGTTGTACCGACTATTTCAGTAGCATTACATGAAGTTTTCAAATTTATTCTTCAACTGCATATTGTTGTTTTGAAGTTTTTGCCATATTGAAGAAAACTAGAAGCGAGACCGGCTTCCTTCAAGAAAATACTGTATTTTACCCACAATCTACAAGAAAGCATAATAATTTTGTCGCATAACACGCGAGTCTGATATCTTGTGTCATGCCTGTTTAAAAAATTTAATTTGAAACAAAGTACATTAGACAAATTTCCGTTGTGATGTCAATGCACTATTAGATACAATCTTTTTTACGCAGGCAGTCATGCAAACAATAAAAATGGTCTATTTTTAATTTCAAGGGCCAAAAATTCAAAAAGTTATTCTTTACAAACTAAAATATATATTGCAAAAGCTATAAAGTAGCCTGAGCTATCTATAAATAGCAGAAATAGAAAAACTTTTTTTGATTTAAAATTTGATAGAAAAGATCATGGCAAATCAGTTTTATTCAGTCATGCTAGAACAGAAATATGTTGTAAATTGTCATGTTATGTTATGTAGAGTGTGACTGTGTCATATTTTTGATACTAAGATAACGGATATTATGTTTATGTAAAATGTTAAGTCATATATTACTAGACAAATAGGAAAATACGTATATAGTTATTAAACTGTGGTTTCAGTGGAAATCCTATACGTAAATTTAAAATACTTAGGAACACTTTTTCTACCCAATGTGGCATTGCGGTAGGATATAGGTAATGACGGTACTCTATGAACGGAATGGCGTAGTTGCAAGTCATGCAAACGCCCAAAAAACATATCCTAATAATTATAATATAAATAAGAGCTTGCAAGCGTTGGTTCGGGGTTCGGAAAAGTTGTAGTTGTTGATGTATGAACTGGTCATACAAATTTGATGAACTATAGTTGTATTGCAGAAGGCAATAAATTTCAAAACGCAGTTCTAGGATTGACGGTTGTCCGTAATCTTAACGAGATCAAATTTAATCATTCCGTATCGCGAAGAACCAACGCTTGGAACAAAAAATCGTGCACAACACTGTAAATATCTTATTGAAGTGTCAAAATTATATATTCAAAATACAGTCCCATCGTTAGTGTGAAGTTTTAGAACAGTGAACCAGCACTTCGCGCAGATTGTGCGAAACAATACTCCTGATATAAAAACACATCTGTAAAGTATTTAGTCAAAGGTTTTTAATGTCCACGTTGTTTGACTTTCCTGCGCTTTACTGGCCACCACCTTTCATTTTTCAATGAAATTTTAAATTTAAAAGCTCTGAATCAAAATACGTTTTTTCCGCTATTTAAAGACGCTTCAAACTTGATATTACATTGACTATTTATAATCTTTTCATAATGAAATAATGATTTAGCTTGCTATATTTTGCTAAAATTCATAGCTTCAAAGCGCCGTCTTAAACCAGCAGTTACTTTTTTTCTTCTGAGAGTGGTAAAATTAATTCAAAATACCTGTATAGGCCAACAATAAACTTTTTGAGCTATTTCGTTAAAAGGACCCAAACACTAGATCAAATATTCAAAACGTCGGAGCCAATTCTACCTCTCCATCTCCCGCCATAAACGTGGACAAATTGTTAGGAAGATTAGTAACATTTTGTAATTTATAAATCAAAGACATAAATAACTATGATCACATTTGTTTGTGTACGCACTATTGTGCTGCACATCAAAAAGATGAATAACAACAACGACTTGTATGTTTGTAAATGTAGATCGTCCAGGTTAGTATAGTCCTGAGAAGGACTGTTTTTGTTGTTGTTGACTGACGTTTTAACAACCTTAGCGGTAGTCGTCTTCAGAGTCAAATGAGGAGTAAACGTCAGGTTAGCCGAATTTGTTATCTGGTTCTTACGTCATTGTATTGTGTGTACAGGAAATGTGTATTGTCATTGTGGATTAGTGTGAAGTGAAATATTTTATTTTTAGTTGCGATGTGTGATTTAGGTGTGACATATTTAGTTGTAATGTGTGGGTGTCAATTGTGTATTGTCATTGTGAATTAGTTTGAAGTGTAGTGTTTTTAGTTGATCGTTTGTTTGTATTGTGAATAAGTCGTTTGTAAGGTGCCGGTAATTGCTGTGATCTGTACAGGGGGGTTTGTTCCAAGTTATATAACATATAATGATACTCCCGGGTTCAAACCATTTAACTTTAACAACGACTTGGTCAATCTTAAGAACCTTAAAGATAAAGCATTATCGAAAAAAAATGGAAAATATTATGACAAATAACCTGCACGGATGGACAGTTTTCTAATCGTCAATGACTTACAAGCCTGTTATCTTATAAACAATGATATTAAGTACTAATTAATAAAAGTACATGTATCACCGTCAAAAAAACGTCATATGACAGTCATATCAATCTCAAGAACGTTTATTTTGTATTTAAAAGAACTCGTCTTGAACAGCGAGTTTTGACGCTAAAATAGGTACATAATGGAAAGAAAAAAACAAAAATATTTATAGCTTTTTTTGCGCTTTCTAGGTGTTTAAACTCGTTGAAGCTTCTTTGCCTCACAAACAGCCAAAGTGGTCTAATAATATGGAGGCGATATGGCCCTGATAGCGAGCTAGCCCAATCGATTTCAAGGGATTAAAAGATACCAAAATTTCAAGTTAGAAATTGCAACTGTTTGCAAATTGCTACACAGTCATTCCGTTGTAATTCTCAAATTAGGGCAAATTGGTTATTTTAATTTTAAATGTTTTGCCTCGTTGTCGAATCAGAATATAGTGAAATTGCTTTGAAATCAATTGTATGAATAACCATTGCATTAAAATTAATAGCACAACAAGAAAATGATTTAAGATAAAGATCAGAATGGTAGAATTAGCAAACTTCTGTGTCTTGTTATACACTGTACTTTTACTTCACACTTTTACAGTAATGTGATACCATAAGAACTATTGAGCAAAAAGTTTTTCAAATTTCATTAATCTTCTAAAGATACCGCATGCCTTACTAGTGAGGTTTACTAGTGCTCATTTTCAATCTTAGTAAGTTCATCGTTGTAAACCTCATAAAAATGATAAAGATCTTTAGAATGGTAGAAATTGGTCAACTGCTGCATTGTCTTGTAATGCGCTTTGTATTTTGTTAGTAATATGACAGCTGCATATATCATGCATGTCTGTATTAGTAAAATGTGTCATAAGGAAAATAGCTCATGGCTTCATATGTTTGCCTTGTATACCTACTGCCTACTTTGTTTTTAATCCTTGTTTGGAAGAAATACGTCAAACGTAGACAAAATCTGATTTCGATTTTGAAAACAAAACTAGCTACATTTTACGAATTTTTAGGAAAAATGTCTAAAAAATAAATTTCTTTTAGTAGTCAGTGCAAATCAAGAATACAAGATGATCCCAAAAAGTAGCTACCGTCTTTTAAAATGCGTTCTTTAGTTATAAGCCTGCGTTTTCACTGTGGTAGATATAGGGTGGGTCAAAATTAATTATAAAAGCCCATTTTAAATTTAAAAGTATTTTCTAACGACGCGATTGGTTAGTGTCAGTTATGCGTTCGGCCCTATCACGAATATATTTAGGCGCTGCAGCATAAAATATATTTTAGTATTCGTAGTTCACAACGAATAGTTTTTATATCGTATCACACAAAATTCTTTAAAAGTTTTTTGAAACACAACAAATTCATTCAAAAATAAACTGTTGATAATTATTTTTACGAACTTGCAACCTTCACTGTAAACATAAAATGTGATAATAAAATTTACGTTAAAGATATGGATTCTTTATTCATCAAATCTCAATAAGTTATCAAAGTTTTACGTTTAATTTACAAAATAAACCTTGAAATAAACATAAGTATGTACATCTCCAAATCATAATATAGTATATAGACAATTCTAAGAAAAACAATTTTCAAATTATTGGTTCCAAAATTTTTCTAATACCCGACATCACATATGACTGACAACAATCATGAACCAGATATTAACTGCGATCAAATTCATCGAGATCATCAACGTCATCCTCCGACTGATTCAGTCCCAGCATTAGAATCAACCGCTTGGCTTCGTTGCGTTTCCAAGAACTCCAGTCTTCTTGTAACAAATCAATTAACTTCTCTTCAATATTTTCCATACGTAGAACAGATATGTGATTTTCATAATTCTCGTTGATTAACACGACAAGACATGCGACTGCACCACAACGTATCAGCGGTATTTCCGATTCAAGTAGGCTGTAAATGGCATCAAGTAGACCGTAGGATCATGCTGTATTTTGATTATCAATGCTACACATACAAATTTCGCTAATGGTGTATAAAATTTGTATCTTCATAGCATCTGGCGCTTCATCATCTTGGAGCATGCGTGCAAACTCTATGAGATGATTTGCAGCCAACCTGGCGACAGCAGGTCCACCTAACCATGCTATATGACCAATATCACGAACAGCGTTGATCCGTTCTTCAACGCTGGTAGACATTACCATTCTCTTACCAACAATTAGTATGTCACGTTTATAGTAATTATCGTCAATAATGGCACCAATATCATCTTGAAGTTGCTCATCTGTTGACTGTTTTTTACCGTATCTTCTTGACAACAAAGTATGCCATAAATAAGAGATGAAACCATTCACATTGCCGAGACATCCTCGAACTATACTCATATTTCTAAACTTTCCCAGAGTCGGGCTAGACTACCTCCTTTTACAACTACAACCTTGACAGATGATAAGACTTCTATTCAATGTTTCTCCAGAAAACGCCGACAATTTTAAAAGACAATAACCGTCAAAATTGTCAAACGTCAAGAATATCGAGCGGACGCAACGTTATACGTGTTTAAACGTTCAAAACAATTGGCAATTTGAAAAAATCACTCAATTGTGACGTCATTTGGTAAATTAAGATGGCCGCCATACGATTGTAACGTCATCAAATAATAAAGTTTACTTTCAGAGGTGAAAGTTAACGATACTTTCAGACATTTTAAATTTTCAATCCAAAGAATCAGTTGCTAAAATCTTAGACAAGAATATGTAAAATTGCATTTGGTACCAGTCCCACTTCCTCTAAGGTTTGCATTACGTCATCATATACCATATTTGGAAATGACGTTTTGATACGGTACCCATCATGCAGTTCGGGTCTGACAAGATAAAAGAAAGTCTACATGAAGTATGGTGAACCAGTGCCCTCAAGGATTAAGTTATGTCTGCATATGTTAAAAGAAATTGTTTTGATGCATAAAAAGATCCAACAAGTCGCGTTAAACTTGTGCAAAATAAAACAATTGAATAGTATAACCTTTCTTTGTTGATAAAATAGCGAACTTTGTCAATCGTGTCTGTGAATTTCATTTTTAAAATATACGTCTAAAGAAAAGATTGGATGAAGTATAAATTTTTGTTTATGAATTTTTTTGCTGACAAGATCATAATTGATAAATAAACGTAATTTTGGCATACGAAAAATAATATAAACCGAACCTCGATACAGACCCTTTTTTCGGTATATAGAATGATAGAAATACTGTAACTACCTCATCACCTCTTTCTGATTTGATACGTAAAGTCGTGACATTGTTGCGGGCAGATTCAGGTCGTCCACCCATATTTTCAGCCCTGAAAGAAGGCAAAACGATATAAGTGCATTTTGTTTTAAGTTCACAGGATACCAGAAGGATATTTAGGCACAAACCACGACGTTAATAGGATACCAACTTTTAAAATTCATTTTGCCGTCCATGCTTCAACTAAATACTTTCTCATTTCCCATGTATTCGTACCTTGTTTTGATCTCTTGAACAACTTCACACGAACTTCGTTTTTGGTAGAAAGATTGGAGGGCCCCTAAGTTAAGGTAGCACAAATTGTATTATTACTTGGTTTGATATAATATCAGTTAAAGAAACCGCAATATCATGATTTAAGAACGATTTAAGATAGCTAAATAAACCAAAATTATTAGTATTACAGAACAATAGCAAATGGAAATCATCTACTTGAATTTTTGTTAAATCACTATGCGTCAATGATTCACCACACAAAAACAAAATGTAAATACCCCCCCTCGCCCAAAGATCGATTTTCGTTGGAATCCTACAATTGTCATTTTCATTGTATTTGGAGGGGAGGGGGGGGGAGGGGTAAGTGACCACGTGTACGTTGAAATTTTGTAGTTCTATTGACGACAACAAACATAATTTTTTCAGTGTTTATTATCAATAGATATTTATCATAATACATCGAACCTTCAGAGTTTCTTCGACACCATATCTTACATCGATAATTTTACCATTCTTGATCAAAGACGGAGGTAAACGACCAAGGAAATTTTCAACATTCTCTACACAAGAAATCTTTATGATCAAGTTTCAACACGGAGTACCCCAACATTTTGGTTGGAATACCTTTATTATTTCCATCTATATGCAGTGAACATATTTTATTTCTAGAAGATTGTGTTTGAGCATCAGCCGCAATATTCTGACCACCGACATCATTTAGAGTTTGACCAGAGCCAGGAAACAAGAGCTCCGTTCGTCTGTCTTTGTACTCCACATCTCTTCTATCGATAACCTAATGACGTCATAATTATGACATCATTCAATAAAGCACGTGACAGCTGAATGATAAAGGTAACGTTTCATATGACTCACCTTAATGTTAACGCCATCTGGGTATTTGTCTTGAAGTTCAGACGGAAAATAACCATCCATCAAGTCATTGATACAACGCTGAAAATGAGAAACTTATTAACCAAAATATATTCCCCCCTGATATGACTAAAAATGATATCAATTTCAGGAGGGGTCTATAATTCAATTATTAACAACGCCCACATGCATTTTGTAAATTTTTGATTTTTAGAAAAGAAATTTTATAAGCTTATCTGACGAATTTTGGTTACGTCAAAACAAATAACTGCAGCTCATTTTTGGAATCATTTATAAAATAAGGAATGAATTAGTAAAAAAGGTTATTACAAGTTGACTAAAAATTTCAGCTTCCTAAAACAAAAATAATTTTCCAATGATATTGAGCTTGTAATGCAAGATGCCGATATATCAACATTTACGATGTGAACGATTGATCCAAATCCAACCGGGCCAAGCAGGACATGAGCATATATGGTCACATATTCAAAATATCAATTTTTTTAAATGTTACACTATTGACTAATGAATCTGTTCGACTTGTGGTGTAGGACTTTGCCTTCTTTTTATAGTTTCTTGACAAATCTCCAGTTTTCTTGCTGCTTCGATTACGTCTAGTGCTTAGAATTCTATCCGAGACGGCGGCTGCTTCTTCCATTTCGTGTTCATTATCCGTTACATCGCATATCCCAATGATTTCTGTCGTTTATTTCGTCTAGATCTTCATCTTACTCTCGAGTTGTTCAGCGATGACATTGCATCTTTCCATGTCTACTTCAGTGGAATCCAGAAGCTCGAGTGCTTCTTTTACAAGCCTTGTACACACGCCACGATAACCGCCTCTTTTGGCGCGAAGTCGTTCAATATTATCCTTTGACATTTCTTTGGTTTTCGAATGAAGTTGTTTTAGAAAACCGTCGTATACTCCATTTGCCCCACGTTGGGCGCCATTTAATGATCGTTCGAAAATACTCTCACAAATCTTTTTGACCAAATAAAAGAGTCTTGGCCTTCGATATGTATATTTTTACTGAAGTATGATGACATGTTTTTCTATTGTGCATTTATAATTATTAGTCTGATCTTTCTTATGTTAGTAAACTGACAGATGCATGCATCACGCATGTCTGTATGAGTGAACTGTTTCATATGTCATGATTTTAAATCGCAAATAAAAATTATATCTAAATACCACATTATTTACTTTTTTCTTCATTTTCAATAATAGGTGTATTTCACCCCAGACTCGTGTGTGTAGTCAATCATTGTTCACTCCGCGAGAGAATCTTGAAACAATACACACGCGTGTATAGGGTAAAATCTCGCGTGTTTGGGGCAAAATCATAGCTTTAAAAGATTAGTAAGGCATGTAGCGCTCCATGTATTTTAGCTCGATGGCTATTATCTATACAAATATTTAGCTGTCTAAATCATAATACGATTAAATATGATAAAAACCTTTAGAATTGTGGAAATCAGTAAACTGCTTTGTCTTACTAAACATTTTGTACTTTGTTAGTCATTTGACAGCTGCATGCATTATGCATGTCTGTACGTGTGAACTATTTCAAGTATCATGTTTTCGTGTATCGCAAGTAAAGATAATAAAATATCCAATTTCCCCAAATTTATTCGCAGTTTTGCAATAATCTTTGCTTGGCGGCAATGAATCTCAGACTTCGTGCATGTTGTATGGTTTGCAGCTCTCAAAGATCTTCGTTTTATTCGTAAAATGACTCTTCGTTAACAGATGAAGATGGGCGAACTTTATCCCCATGTAAATTACCTTTTACATGTGAGATAACGTTAAATAATTTACTATGATTTATGAAAGTAAACATGCATGCCTATGTAAAGCATTTACTGAGCTCATAGACCTTCACGTGCTCACACGCTGTGAAATCGTTCAATTGCGGGAAAAATACTCAGAATGCATGTTGAATTTTTGCAAACCTAATGAGGTTTAATAAAGTCTGAGAGCAGAATAATAGTCAGATTAAATTAATTTCAAATAAATAAATTTTTGAGAGAAATGTGTTTTGTGTTCACTATTAAGTCAAATTGCTCAGTAACTCTGAACTCTTTCCTCTAACCTTCACTGCATGTAACATGACTATTTTAACGTCATATAGATATTGAACTCCTTAAAACTTATGTCAAATTTTAACGATGAATTCAATATCCTTTTCATCAAAAACTGCATGATTATCGCCCTAAGATGTTAATCTAATATAAAACGACATCACCAGTGATAGTCAAGACTTGCGATTAGATGAACATTGTGTAGGTCTGCGTAATAATGTATGTATAATATTAAATATGACAAAGATCTTTAGAATATAGAACTTCAGACAGATACATTGTTGCAATTAGATGATCATTGTGTAGGTTTCAAGTGTAATAATGTATAATATTAAATATGACAAAGGTCTTTAGAATATTAGAACTTCATAGACAGATACATTGTTGCGCGTGATACACTATTCAAGTTTGCTTTACAACGGGCGAAAAATGTCAAACTGTTAACAAAATATTGAATTGATGAGTTAAATAACTTTTGGCTCCAAGCAACACTTTTTAAAATGATGTGATGATGGCCATGTTCTAAAACTCCTCTTTGCTTTCCATATGCTGATTCAGTATCACTATATAGGGACTGTATTTTTCAACGAATTTATCGAATTTAATGAACACGTAAACAAAAGCTCCCGCACCGAGTTAAATGAAAATGTTTTCTGATAAAGTTTGCAAACAACTAAAAATGCAAATGCAAGCAAGTACGGTGCAATCAATCTTAACGTGCCAGGTGTTGCAAACAGGTGCAACAAAGATCAACAAAATCAAATCATTCAAACAAAAAAAACAAACAAGAACAGAAACGCATAATTTGATTCATTTCTATAAATAAGTATTTTAGTTTTATTCAAATTTTCTTCAAATACGGAAATAGTTTTATCCATCAGATGTTGGTATTCATACATATGTACTCCTCACAACTCACAAGATTTTACAATTATTTAAAAATTAATCATAAAAAGTACTATGGATGAGAGAAAGCTTTCATTTTACGTAGGTTTTGGTCATGTTTAAATGATGCCCACATAAATGATTGCCCAAGCAATAGGTACCAGCTGGACAACAGTTGCCGTCATGACAGCATACTGCTGGTCGTATAGGACAGCAATAAAAGCGTCGTGGTCTTCTTGGAATAAATGTACAACACGTTTGTCCAGTTCTGCAACGATAGTCTTGATGGTTTACATATGCACAAAGTGCTCCTCTCCTCCACTAAAAGAGATTTAGGGCCTGTTCATGTTCATATTAAGGCCTATTGCACTTGAAACCATTACCTGTACTAACAAGTATTGAATGACACAAAACATAGTAATTAAAAATGATTGAAGGATTTAGTTTAAAACACGCATTGTACAGCTTTTTAGTCTTAATTTATATCTGTTAGACTTAAATAATGTTTTAGTGAAGTTTGGTTTGTGTCGTTGTATAAATATATAACAATGTTTTTGCAAGTAACTAAATCATTTACACCCTGTTCACAACTATAACAGAAGTGAATTTGACATTGTTTTGTATAAATTGCACTCATTGATCTAATGATTAAAAAGCAAATAAATAAAAGATTTGAAAATATCAACTTTCCAAACACACATTAGTATCCTCTGAAGTCGGAACTATTCTTACATAAGCTAGATTTGGGCAAAATATAGCAAGAACACCAACCTCAGTTGGTTTTGTCTCTGAAATTGAATTTATCATTTGCTCCATTTTGCCAGATTTATAACAAACCATCAGAATCAAAAGAATGCAGAATGTCTTCATCGCTAAAACAAAATGAATTAATGTATATCCTACTTAGTAGGTGTATACACTGCATGCAAACGGACACATTTCACTGTAAAATCAATTCTAGAAAACGAAGTTGTTGTAAATAGAATAATAATTACTGTCCGTAAGTTTAACAATCAATATTTTATCAAATTTGATAAGTCATATTTATGTTGTCTACATTCGAACTTTCAGGTAGCAATATCTGGCTTAAGTTTCCTATTTTTGTTTGCCATGTAAGAATTGTAAGTGTACTTGACTATGGTAGAAAATATCCTCGTATTCTTTTTTCGAAGAAAATTCCTCCTTTAAAGCTCTGGTGCTTTGAACTGGTACTGTAGGATTGCTGTTATTTATGAAGACTGGATCATATGATGCGCAAATTCCATGGATATGAGTGATGCATATGACTGTGTTGTATCACACAATGTAATTTTTTATAGTGATCTTACAGTTACACACATGATTGTATGTGTGATCTGTCTTAATATCACATGCTTTTACATTGCAAGTTTTATGTCATGTGTACAGATGATGCTCAAATTTCTCATTATTAAGGTTTTACTTCATTTTCAATGAAAGTATGCACATCTTTTATATGATAAACACTTTTTAGAAACATAAAATTTCATAAATCACTGCAACTACATTAAGGCGCGTTATAGAAAGTAAAGAAATTTGATACGTAATGCGATCAAATATGATAAAGATAGTGAGAATAGCAGAAATTAGCAAACTGCTGTGTCTTTTTACGCACTTTGTACTTTGTTAGTAATCTGACAGCTGCATGCATCACGCATGGCTGAATGAGTGAACTGTTTCATATCTCATGATTTCATATCCCAAATAAAAATTATATCTAAATACCACATTATTTACTTTTTTCTTCATTTTCAATAATAGGTATATTTGGCCCCAGACTCGTGTGTGTAGTCAATCATTGTTTACTCCGCGAGAGAATTTCGAAACAATACACACGCGTGTATAGGGTAAAATCTCGCGTGTTTGGAGCAAAATCATAGCTTTAAAAAATTAGTAAGGCATGTAGCGCTACATGTATTTTAGCTCGATGGCTATTATGTATAGAAATATTTAGCTGTGTAAACCATAATATGATTAAATATGATAAATATCTTTAGAATTGTGGACATCAGTAAACTGCTGTGTCTTTCTAAACATTTTGTACTTTGTTAGTAATATGACAGCTGCATGCATTATGCAAGTCTGTACGTTGAACTATTTCAAGTATCATGTTTTCGTGTATCGCAAATAAAGATAATAAAATATCCAATTCCCCCAACTTCATTCACAGTTTTGCAATAACCTTTGCTTGGCGCCAATGAATCTCAGACTTCGTGCATGTTGTTTGGTTTGCAGCTCTCAAAGATCTTCGTTTTATTCGTAAAATGACTCTTCGTTATCAGATGAAGATGGGCGAACTTTGTCCCCTGGTAAATTAACTTTTACATGTAAGACAACAATAAATAATTTACTATGACTTATGAAAGTACACATGCATGCCTATGTAAAGCATTTACTGAGCTCATAGACCTTCACGTGCTCACACGCTGTGAAATCGTTCAATTGTGGAAAAAATACTCAGCATGCATGTTGAATTTTTGCAAACCGAATAAGGTTTAATAAAAGTCCGAGAGCGGAATAATAGTCGGATTAAATTAATTTTAAATAAATAAATTTTTGAGAGAAATGTGTTTTGTGCTCACTATTAAGTCAAATTGCTCAGTAACTCCGAACTCTTTCCACTAACCTTTACTGCATGTAACATGACTATTTTAACGTCATATAGATAATTGA